AGTCCTAAATTAGGTATAAATGGTTAGCAAACATATAACGTGTGATGCAGCATGTAAGTGACATTGTCTCATTAGCCTGACACTTATCAAAAGCAGTAACATTTTTGCACTTGCTACCTTACAGGAAACTATTGCAAATGTTAAGAAACAATTTGAACACAAGTGGAGAAATCTCTGAGAATAAATACATAAGAGGTGTTACAAAAGCAAAGATCACCTAACTCTTTAACTGAGTGAATGTGGTCAGAGGTACCAAAAAATAGAAGGCACTCCAAACAAAAGAAAACAATAAAGGTTAAGGAAATAATTAATGAAATGAAGAGTAATTCTTAGAGCAGAAAATGAGGCAAAAGGTAAGGATAAAAAATTACAATTAAATTTATATAAATGATAAACAGTCTTAACTTTGACCTTATTCACACCACATATTTCATTCTAGCAGAAATATCAAGCTAATATATCTATTGATAATTTAGAGGCAGGTATTGGTAGGGTGTGGTAAGGTAAATACATACTGTTAAATTTAAACTCACTTCTGCCCCTTCCCAAAACAGAGGGAAAAAGAGTAAATGCCACCCCTTGAGAATACCAAATGATATGGTTTCCTTCTTTCCTACTATCAAAATCTACAAATGCAGCCCCACAGCTTCAGTACAGTTAATACATCAGAATACTAACAACCAGAAGTTTTGAGTTAGAATAAAATAAATATAATTTAACATCAAATTAAATCTCACAATGAACATTACATTGATTGTAGTACTCTAGGCTAGAAAGATTAGTAAAGGGTAGAAGCCTTGGAATGGATAGTGTTACATAAATACATAATTTCAGCCTAACACCACTTTTGGGCTCAGGGATGATTGTATGGATTTATGAAGTCTTACAATGCTTTAGTGTTTAGAACTAGTCTAAACTTTTGGACTGAAACATTTTCCTATCAAAATACGGTCCATGAACTGCTTACTAATGAATTTTCTGGAGATGGTCAGTAGCCATCATAAATGGTGTGTTTGATTCTCCTGCCCTCACTTGCTCTTCAGTTGGCTATGATGTAACACTGAACATAGGGTTGCACACTAGAAATAAAGGGATCAAAACTATCCATGTTGCTGTTAGACAAAGGAATTTGGGGAATTTCCTCCAGTGCTCCCCAATCTCATTTTCCACTACAAGATTTAAATAAATTACCAAAATAATTGAAAGTGGTGTGATTATGTTGTATTATTTTGACAAATACAATATGCAGAATTTTATCTCTCTATATAAAAAAGTTTTTCCTGACGTACGACAGAATGTTCCTGATGAGCAACAGAATGACGTCATCACATCATTAGTGTCAACAGGCTCTCTCAGTGAAGTGAAAGCAGCCAGAGAGAGGGGGTAAGTGAGCATAGTGAGCAGAGGCTGCATATCCTTAGTGATATTTTATTCAGAATTTGTAATATTTTGGTGCAGAATTCTCCACAGAGTAAAACAAGGCACAAAACTTGAGCCTCAACCTGCACTTAGAGAGGGTCAAGTTAATCTCGTCTAATTGATACTGGACACCAACAAGGTTCAAACCCCTTGAAGAGTCTCATTGGCCACAAACAGCAAGGTACAGCTGACTGCATTACAAACATTAAAATACACCTACAAGACTTTTCCCACTGGCTCTGCAAAAAGACATTTGGACATCAATCTAGTTCTCTTCCCTCTCAGGTTGTTGTGCTGCATTCATCTCCATGGTATCTGGGTGCTTCTGTTGGCACCCAACTGAAGAATATATCGCTAAAGAATTCTAAAGAGCTGTTCTTTGAAGCCTTCCAAAAAAGTTTCCCATGGAACATTTTTGTTGCCACCAGGGAGGACAGGAGCATCTTCATCCCAGGATTATTAAGATCAGAGAATGTTAAAGTGTTGATAGAACATAAGAATCACAGCTTTTAACCAAGAACAGAAGACAGCAGTCTGACTACTTACTATGGATGTTTTATTAATGTACCCAGAATAGCTTTTAAAGACTGAGAGAAAAAGGTCAAATAGACCAAAGGTTTTCAAACTCTGGGTCGTGTCTTGTAAGGGTAAGCGAATAGTTGGCCACGAGAGGCTTTGTTTACCTGAGCATCTTCAGGTATGGCTGCCAGTAGCCCCCAGTGGCTGTGGTTCACAATTCCTGGCCAATAGGAGCTGCAGGAAGTGGTGGCTCAGAACACACTGCTTCCTGCAGCTCCCACTGGCCAGGAACAGTGTATCACGGCCACTGAGAGCTGCAAGTAATCATGTCTGTGGACACTCGGGTAAGCAAAGCATTTCGTGGGCCACTAGTGGCTTACCCGCATCAGGTCTGTGACCCAATTTTGAAACCCCCTGCAACAGACAATGGACAGCTGCTCTGGCTCAGTTCACCTTAACAATTGAGGCAGGGAGCCCCATCAATATGAGCAGGTAAAAGGGGCTTCAAACTAGGAACAGTAGGCATCACTATAGCTCCTAGCTGGACCAGACACATACTATTTTGCTTCTAGGTGTCCAGATACTACGAGATTATTGCCAGGCAATGCAACAGGACACTGCAATCTATCATGACACTCAGAAGCGGAATTTTAAATATTTGCTTGGGAAAAAAACCCTCCAAATTCATATTATATCAATTATTTTATCCGTACCTATTAATTAACAAACAAAACATATATTCTTTTATACAGGAGATAAAAGCAAAGAAACTGTTCTAATTATTTTTATTTTAAACTTGGGTCTTTGACAACATACCTCAGAAAAGCTTTTGCTTGTATTAAGTGAGGTGTTACAAGCAAAAAGTCATCAATTAACCGTATCAGCACTCTGGAATTAAAAAAAAAAAAGTTACATTTATATTTAGTCTGAAAATATTATTTTCTTCTATGTTGTACCTAAAGTGACAGGCTATGCACCAGTGTACTTTCATTTTACATACACCAGGGGTGTCCAAACTTTTTTCAAAGAGGGCCAGATTTGAAGAAGTGAACATGTGTGAGGGCCGTCCCCGCACTCTCAGCCCCAAGGCGGAGGGCCCGCGGGGTCAGAGGCGGGCGGAGAGCGCAGGGCACGCCGGTCTCACGGCGGCCTGGGGGCAGGGAGAACCAGCAGCAGAGCGGGGGGGTGGGGCTGCGGACGTGCCCTACAGGGCAGGCTCTCGGACTGCGGAGGCCATGGGCGGCGGCGGTGCGGCCGGAAGCGGCGCGCTGGGCGCGCCAGTTCAAAAGAGCGCCGGGGAGCCAGGAGAGGGGGAGGAAGCGGGGGCCGTATTAAACCGGAACACGGGCCGCAATTGGCCCGCGGGCCGGACTTTGGACATGCCTGACATACACAAAGACTTTTAATTTTCTTATTTTGCCTATAGTGAACTTGGGAAGTAAAGCATATCTATACTGTAGTCAGCCATAAAGCAAGGTCACGAACAGGTACCTGGAACAGAATTTCATATATGGCCATAGCAACTTACTTCTCACGGCCACATAAAAGCACAAATTACAACTGACTGACCAATCTAGAGACGTTTACTTTCTTCTTGCCCATTCTACAACTTTCTGCAGATAGAGGAATTCAGATTTCCAAAGCTGTCAATCCAGTACTAAACTGCATCACTGCTAAGGCTGAAATTTTTTAATTCAGTAGAAATTTCATACCCACTACTTTCAGAGTATTTTTGAAATCTCAGCAAAAAGGCATGTGGGCTCTCTCAACTCCCAGTTCTCACTCAATCAGTACATAAATCTTTAACCACTCCCTGGCATTTTAATTACACACTTTCTAAGATTGGGGGTAGACCATGAGCCTGCTGTAGTTTACTATAGGAGCTCATAAGCCTCCTAACACCTACAGGATGTTTATGGTCCTGATTAGCATATTGAGACCAGCAGGTGTTGATGTATGTGCATGTGTTCAGGAGGGTAGCAAATCTCTTTACCTTTATGGGGGCAGGTATGTTAGAAAGCCCCAAATGAGCCTCCAATATTTCATATATGGGCAATGGGCTGCAAGCACCTTGCGGGGGCTCCCCATGCCAGGATGCCCCTAAGGCTTTTGGGAAGAGATTGGGGGACCTCTCACAGTCGTCCTAAACCTGTAGTGTTGGTGGGTATCTGACAAGTCTCATAAGACTCAGAGAGCTGATGTACTTACCAAGGCAAAGCTGCCTTAAAGCTGCAGGAACCTGAAGTGTGTATTACTAAAACTTCTTTCCAGTTGACCTCAAGATAGAAATGGGGGCAGAGAGCAAATTTCCCTCCAGCCCTGTTTGCTATTCACTAAGGAAATTCTAACACAAAATGTCATGATGGTGGAGTTAATTAGCTCCACTTCGCCTGGAGAGTAAGACCTTCAGAAAATCAGAAACTTATATTGCTTGTCCACAATAAGCAGTTTCATTTTACCAGTGACCAAAAGAACTAAAATGCCTCAATACTAATGGTACAGCAGTTTCACCATTTTATGGATTCTTTCGGCTCAAAAAGGGTATGTCTACACTACAGCATTATTTCGAAATATCTAATTTCGAAATAGTTATTTCAAAATATCTTACTTCGAAATAACGCATCTACACACAAAATGCATTTTGAAATAGCTTTTTGTTATTTTGAAATAGCACGTCCACACTGATTAGACACTGAATTGCATTTAAGACCAGCCAGAACTGGTTCTCGCAGGGCATCATGTCAGAAGTTACCCTGTGGCCAGGGGAGCCAGCAGGGCACCCTGGGAAGGGCTGGAGGCCCCCTATTTTGAAATAAGTATCTACACAGCGCTTATTTCAAAATAGCAATTTCAAAATTGGTACTATTCCTCATGGAATGAGGTTTGCCAATTTTGAAATAAGCCCTCCGCTATTTTGAATTAATTTTATATATGCTAGGACAGTTATTTCGAAATAACAGCTGTTATTTTGAAATAACTTTGCTGTCTAGACATACTCAAAGAGTGGCCAAAAGACTTTTACAAATTCCTGATTAGACAAATATTCTATTTAAGGAAATTATTTCCATTCCTCTTTAAGGGCTTGGTCCTATGAGACACTAAGAATACCTGGGCTATGTCTACACTGCGGCAGTTTGTTGGAAGAGGAAATGCAAATGGAGCGCTCGTTTACAAATCTCGCACCTTCATTTGCATATTCTCTTCCGA